GGTGGGGGGTCCTAGCACCCAATCCCACCTACCCCGAACAAGTTCTGTCCGGTTCCAAGAAACCAGCCACAGATCCCTGGTCAATTTACCCTCTGGATCTTACCCACAAATCACGCTGGGCCAATCCTTTAGAATCTATATCTAAAGGTTTATTATTACAATAAAGAAAAGCATGAGAGTAAGGTTGTTAAAGATTAGTACGTTACATGCACCGAATCTCCCAGTACTCGATGCAGGCTCTAGCAGAGAGGTTACAGCTGCTGGTTTAAAAGTCCTTGTTGCACATCCTAGGATCAGGATGGGTTCACAGGTCTTTCCAGCTCTTCGATCCCTGCAATGCTGCCTCTGGGACAAAGTGCTGAGCTGAGAACCAAGATGGAGTCGACCACATGGCCTATTTATCCCTCCTTCCTGCTCTCTTCTTGGCTACAGCAGGTCACCTGGCCCGCGGCCTATCCCTGTGTTCCATGCTGGTAGCCCCTAGGTATGAGCCACCACTCTTGAGGTGTGTCCTTGGCCTATCCAGGGCTATTGTTCCAGAGCTTTGCTCGTTAGCATGTCCATGGGCTGGGCTGCTTTGCCCATAGTTCAACCACATCTAGAGAAATATTCAGTATCCACACAAAGTCCATGCTTATAACTTCACATACCGACATTATACAATCCCATGAACAGCATATAAGGAATCAGAAGAAAGGAGGCTTCTATTGGACACCTCACATGGCCCCCCTTTGGGCCACTTTTGGGGCCAACCCCCCCCTTTGGGCCCCGCCCCCCCCCCCATGGGTGCAGCAGTGATCTGGCTGCTCCCCTCGAAATCCAGTAACGTGACACTGGGTCAGACCAAAAGTGCATCCGGCCCAGTGTCCTGTCTGCCCACAGTGCCCAGTGCCAGGTGCCCCAGAGGGAGGGGACACAACAGGGAATCCTCACGTGATCCCTCCCCTGTCACCCACTTCCAGAGAAACAGAGGCTGGAGACACCATTCCTACCCAGCCTGGCTAACAGCCATTGATGGACCTAACCCCCACGAATCTATCTAGCTCCTTTTTGAACCCTGTTAAAGTCCTGGTCTTCACCACATCCTCTGGCAAGGAGTTCCACAGGTTGACTGTGCATTGGATGAAGAAATACATCCTTTTGTTTGTTTTAAACCTGCTACCTCTTCATTTCACTGGATGACCCCTAGTTCTAATATTGCGGGAATAACTAAATAACTTTACCTTGTTCACTTTTTCCATGCCAGTCATGATTTTATAGACCTCTGTCATAGCCCCCTTTAGGCTACATGTAGTCTGCAGGAATTTGTTGGCGGAGGCAATGCAAACAAGGAGGTATACAGGATCTTGCAAAAAAGGGGATATTTGCCCAAAAGGGCCCTGCCTACATTGCTTTTTTTTGCACAAAAACCTCTTCCACAAAAAGGGTCGGAGGAGACTATGCAAATTCCTGCAGTCTAGGCGTAGCCTTAGTCTCCTCTTTTCTAAGCGAAAAGTTCCAGTCTCTCTGACCCTGGAAGTGTGGCTTCCCCGACATTGTCACCGATGTGGCCAGGCAGCCGGTCCAAGGCTGACATTGCTCTGCGGGGCGGGGGGGAGGAAGAAGCTGCGGAATTAGCCCCCAGGGCGCCGAGGGTGGATTTTCTGCAATTACTAAAGCTTCTCGGCGCAGACAAGACTAAGGCACCTGCCCGGGGAGAAAACACTGAACAGACCCAGCAATTCCGAGTGGGCTTATCAGTCTAACGAGCCGTGAAATGCCCCATTCTCTTGCCATGGAAGTGCGCTGAGCGTGTGCTGTCACGGCGCACGGCTCTGAGGCCCGCCAGGCAGGGGGGAAACTGGCATTCGCCCGCACAGGGGCATGCAGCGTCAGGAGGGATCGACTGGATTATCCCAGGAGAGACCCATCCGGACCTACGCTCCCTCAGGGGACGCCTTTGCCTGCAGACACGGCCTGTCCCAGCGCCCCGACGGTGGGCGAAGCTCATTCAGGCCTCGAGCGTGGGGCTGGATCGGTTGGGCTTGCTGACTACCGACGTGCCTGAATATCGCCGCTGGCCCTGGGCATGAAGCCCATCCCCGTGGCAACCTGAGGTGACTTGGCCAGTTTGCCCCCCGACCGGGCCTTGGGGCCCAGCTGTGAAGCCAGGCAGGGCTGTCAGCCGCTTAGGGCGCTGAGCGAGGGAACCCAGCAAGGCCCAGCGGGGAAACGAAGCTGGGGCGGCAGAGCCTTGCCCTCGGCGCCGAGGGAGGGGAGGTTCTGGACGGGCCGAGCTCCGTAAAGGGAGCTACCCTGGGCCGGGGCATGGCGGGTGAAGGGGTTTGGCAGCAAGTCAAGGAACCCTTTGTCCTGAGACCAGCTGTTCCCCACAGGATTAGCTCCGAGAACAGGCTGTAAACAGGCGTTGTCCGTCCTGCTCCCGTGCCAGACCCATCGCCCAGCCTCAGCACGGGGACGGGCCCAGGGAAACCAGCGTGGCCCTTTGCGCTCCCAAGTAGCCAGGCCACAGCACATCTCAGGTGGCTCTTTGTTACCCCAGTCTGGTTACTGGGGTCCGGAGGAGACACAAAACTGGAAAGTGACTTCCAGGCTGCCTGCCCCTCGAGGGGCGCTTAGCGCCGCTCACCCACCTTCCGGATTTGACCCCCATTTGCATCTCAAGCCTGAGGTCCTGTCGTGCTAATCGCGCCTCCACGTCTGCCCTCACCGGGAGATTCTGAACGGTGAAAACGGAGCGAACGTTTCTCAGAGGCCACCAGCAGCAAACGTGCAATTGCTGCAGAACAGACGCAAGGAGGCGACAGAGACCAAGCAGAAATGTAACGATGTAAAGGGA